TTAATTGATCCCTTTTTATTTTTTTTTGATCCTTTTTTATTTTTTTATTGATCCCTATCCCCTTTCGGAACCCCTAAAAACCCCTAAACCTTAAACCCTAAATCCTAAATCTTAAACCCTAAACCCAAAACCTCAAACCCTAAACCTTAAACTCTGAACCTTAAACCCCAAACCCTAAACCTTAAACCCTAAACCTTAAACCTTAAACCCTAAATCCTGGGCAGAGCCCCCTGGTCCCTTACAGCCCCCATCTTCTAGAAACCCTTATCCGGAACCCGGGTTTAGCATTTAGGGTTTAGAGTTTTATTGTTTCGGGTTTAGGGTTTAGGGTTTCGTAGCAACCCGAACTCGGAACCCTTATGTACTACTGTATTAGGGTTTAGGGTTTAGGGTTTAGGGTAAAATTGGCTCCTGCTTGGACCAAAACCTCCAAGAGCGGCCTTGACGAAGTTGGCTTTGGACCAGGACGCACTCTTCCTACGTTCTGCTTTCAGATGGGGGGGGCTAAGTAAGATAAGTAGTTTAATTCGTATTGTTTTTTGAAAAGATGCAGCTGCTTAGCCTGTCTATATCTCTGACTGCTACGTCCCGTGATCCTTTACGGAGGAAGCTGATTGAGTGTATAATTTCGACTTCTCACAGTAGTTTCCGAGAGCTTGATGGAGTTTTCGTTACACGAACCTAACTTACCAAACCTAAACTCCTAAACCCCAAAACCCCCAAACCCCTACACCCTAAAGCCCAAGAAAAGCTTCTTAACAAGTGCCCAGCTTCTCTTTGAGAATGTGCTCAACGCTGTCGCTCTTCATCGTGGATCTTACCTGGTTCCCTCTTGGGCTAGATTAAAACTGACCATTCTTCATCCTCATTGGGCTTTACTATAACAAAAATGTAAAAGTGTATCCAACATGGACCCTAAACCCTAAACCCTAAACCCTAAACCCCCAACCCTAAACCCTAAACCCTAAACCCCAAACCCTAAACCCTAAACCCAGTTACATGCATGTTCCAGGCGTGCTCGAAGATCACCATTCGAAACCTGGGCTCTTGCTGCTTGCTGGTCTTCGGCTTCTAGACGCGTTTTGCAGGAAGACGTCAAGACGGGTTTTATGAGGGTTTTGGGTTTAGGGTTATTTGGGGGGGGTTTAGGGTTTAGGGTTTAGGATTAAGGAACTAATGTAGTTTAGACTATTTTACAGAAGCTAGTTGATACGTAACTCTCGCCTACCGCTGCTTCTGAGAACTCAAGCGACTGGAAAACCTCCGAAAAGGCTACAGCCGACAAGGCGGGCTCTGAAAATGGGAGACCCTAATTTAAGGACCAAATACGGTTTAGGGTTTAGGGTTTAGTCCCACATGCCTCAGCTAACTCAGATAGTTTTATGAGGTCATCACGGGGACAACTTGGTCTCGATCGGCGGTTGCTCGCTGGTTGACCTCTAATAGCTGGCATGCTTTGCTTCTTACAGTCTTACCTTGAATCCCTAAACCCCCAGACCCTAAACCCTAAACCCTACACCCTAAACCCTAAACCCTAAAGCCCCAAACCCCTAGACCCTAAACCCCAGATGAACCCTTGCGACCATGCTCGCTAAGAAGAGCCTCCTAAACCCTAAACCCTGAACCCTAAACCCTAAACCCTAAATCCCAAGGAACGGGCATTCATCCCCATAGCGCCGCTGGATCGGCGCGGAGACTTCAGCAAAGGCCGTGGTGAGGCTGCACGAGCTGGTCCCGATGATCAGAGCCTGGGTCCTTCGGCTTAGGAGATTAGGGTTTAGGGTTTAGGGTTTAGGGTTTAGGGTTTAGGGTTTAAGGTTCAGGGTTTAGGGTTCAGGGTTTAGGGTTCAGGGTTTAGGGTTCAGGGTTTAGGGCTTATGTTTTTCACGATTTCGAGCCTAGCCGCTTTTGGGAGTTTGGGCTTCAGGGGCTTCAGGGTGCTGCGCTTTCAGCTGTGAGACCTATGTCTTGGCTTGTAATATTTGGGATTTAAGATTCTTGGTGCTTCCCGAGCTCTCAAACCCTAAACCCTAAACCCTAAACCCTAAACCCTAAACCCTAAACTTTCCCAACCCCAAAACCTCGAGGGCCCCATTCAACTACACCTAAAACCATGAACCCTAAACCCTGAAACCCATAACTCCCTGAACCCATAACTCCAAAAACGCTAAACCCGGAACCCCAAAACCAATAAAGCCTTCGACCCTACACCGCTAAAAGAAAAAACCCACAAAGCCTAAAACCGAGCCAAAAACCCTAAACCCTAAACCAAAAAAAGGCAAGGCTCTTCATGGCCACTGGTAGCAGAACCTCTCGAGCGATGAGGTTCATGTCGGTCTCGACCATCTGCTCGTGCCCCTCCAGCTCTGGATTCGCCTTTCCAAGGGGTAGGTTTAGGTTTAGGGTTTAGGGTTTAGGGTCTAGGGCAATAACCCTAAACCCTAAACCCTCAATAGTCGTATTAGGGTCTATATGGTGATAGTGTTATGTGGGAGGGGCAGGCATGTTCGGCTTTGGAAGTCTAGAGCTCTTTCTGCAGTTTTTGGGGATTCAAAAGGTGGAATAAATTTCGGACTTCATCCATAAAGGGTCTAAAGCTCCACGGAACCTTAAAAGTAAGCAACTAAACCATAGACTTAAAGCCTAAGGAAAAGCCCTTTCTTTAATCGGCCTACGTGGGGGAAAAGCCAAAATCTTAAGATGACATTTTCTCTCTGCAAACCCTAAACCCTGAACCCTAAACCCTAAACCCTGAACCCTAAACCCTGAAACCGGGCCTTCGTGGGCAAGATGTTGCGGATGGCCGGCCTGCCCTCCCAGTAGGTCCGGCCCTTCTGACCTGGTTCCCTGTTGAGGCTACATTAAAAATGATCATGTTGGGTTTAGGGTTTAGGGTTTAGGGTTTCCTTGTTGGGGCTACTTGAAGGATCATGGGACTTAGTAAGTATGGTTGTAAGTGCCTTTATTGGGGTTACAAGTAGTTATAAGTATAGCTACCCTAATAATAGCCACAGTTACTAAGTCCCATGATCCTGTAAGTATATTAAAACTGATCCATTCTTAATCCTTGTTGGGTTTTCAGAAATGTCCTAAACCCTAAACCCTAAACCCTAAACGAAAGTTCTAGCCAACAAGGACCCAGTGACAGGGCACCAGGCGAATTACCAGCTTTGGCTCGTGGATGCCAAGAGCCTGAAAGGAGGCTCTTGGGGTAAAGGGGCCTTTAGAATTAGGGTTTAGGGTTTAGGGTTTAGGGTTTAAGGTTTAGGGTTAGTGT